CTACTAAGTAGTACTTTGTAGTGTTCGGGACTGTTAGGGTTAAAACAATAGAGTACTACTGCTCGGCCTAGCTGTAGTTCATGACCCTATGGCACTTGTACACATATTTCATCCACGCACGTGTACATGTGCATGTACCTCCAGAACTGTGGGGTCCGACGTCTGCTCATTCGTGGGAGAGGAGCGGACATCAGACCCCACATTTCTGGGGGTACTTGTACATTTACTTTCATGTACCTTCATGAATGCAAACTGGAAGTCTCAGTTCAGATTTTTCAATCCTTGGAAACAAACAGTGGGGCATATACTGGGAAAGAGTTCCATAAATACGTACATTACTTGACAACCTGTGCACAAACCCTGTGAGCCTAGTCTGAAAAATTTCAAGTGTTTTTCTAAATAAATGATTCAATATTTTCACTGCTAAATTTGACTTTTGGGGGAAAGTTTTGATGGCTTATAAACTGTTGCTTATAAACCATACAAATAAATGACGTCCTTATTTGCAACTCTTACCTTTAACTGTTTTGAATGGTTCACATCAAATCCAGAGTGATGCGCTATTTTAACTTTGTGCATTACTCTGTTTTTTAATACACAAATGCAAAACACAACTGCAACGTTTACTATAAATTCAAACCAGGTGCTTTATAGGCCCTGTAACATCTTAACCGCGCATCAAGTTTGCATGAACATAAATTAGTTATCATACTCACCCTTGTCGAACACAGATGCACTCACATGATGCTTAACGCTTTGTAGGCCGTTTTGCTGGTTCCTCCATGAAATGTTTGACCCAGAACACTGTTGGACTTGAAGTTTGATATGTAGGCACCTTGCAAGACATTAATTGCATGCCTACTTGCAGAACTCATGTCTCTGGAGGCCTTGACCTTTTTAAGGGTTTGATGGGTGTTTGAATGCATCCCTGTAACTAGCACACTGTACCACAAGCGTGCACGAACATGTACATTGAAGGGTCATATTAGCACATTGTCAACTTGGGCCAGTCCCACCATGCTCACCGTCACCAATGAAAACTTTGACCTCTTTTCGTACACTTTTCTGGTAGAAAAGTGTTCCAACTGATGTTTGATTTCTGGTTTCTAGGCACCATGCAATTGCTGTACGTACACACCTAGTTACTGTAAGTTGATAAGTTTGGCCAGAATGATGTACCTCGTGGCAACAGTTCACAATAATGAAATTCGTCTTGCAGGCTTCGATATTACATGTATAGGCTGAAGATAGGGCAGCCCTTTTTGTTTAATACAACTTGGATCTAAAGTGTGACTGGTCAAATGTTCCTCTTTCTTGGCCTAAACATTTGGTTTGTATTTCCTGACTTTTGTTGAAGAGATCCACCTTAAATATGGACTCCGCCTCCAAGCCTGACGATTCAGACGCTACATTAAGACGTCCAATGAATGCCTTCTTGCTATTCTGTAAGCGCCATCGCAGCATTGTGAAGAATGGCCACCCCTGGCTTGACAACCGATCCTGCACCAAGATGTTGGCTGACATGTGGGCAGTCTTGGACTGGGATGAAAAAACCAAATACCTTCAGCTGGCTAGAGAAGTAAGTCCGACTGGTCATCCCATGCCAATGGGATACCTTGTATGCTGTGGTTGTGCTGTGTAATATCAGCAGTCACAGTCAGCATCAACAAGGAGTCAGCAAGCCTGAAATTCACCCCAGATCTTTAATTAAAGGAAGCATCCGTATGTTTTAAAAGAGCATGTACAGTACTTTTTTCAAAGATGGTTATAGGACTAAACTACCTGTGAAATTATTTTTTTCTGGCAAGTAGTTGTCTAAAGATACATGTACAGTTGTGGAAAATCACTGCCAATAGAAGAGTGTGCAAGGGAGTATAAGCTTATTAGTTTAACCCTAAAGTGGGAGGGGTTAGAATATGCACCCCCACAAACTTTTACCGATCGATATCACCACAGTGCATGTTTTTCAGGTCCTTAGAGGAGGTTTTTTAGAGGAACTCTTTGTAGTCATTTTGACACCAAATTTGTGAAGAGCAAACATACTGTTCTCAAGCAAAAAAATCGAGTGTGGCACGGCAGAGTTCTTGAGGGGGTGGAATCCCCCCCCCGCCAATGTGAGATGGGCCAAACTAACTTGTCTCTTTGACAATTAATTCATTGGTTCAGTGTTACATCACAAGGTTCATTTGACTGAACTTGAGATTTTGTCCCTGATGCTGAATGCTGATGGAACTCAAAGTGTAACTCATGAACTTTTGATCCGAAATCAAAATCCTTGAATATTGTGTATATTTCTTTGAGTATACAGTATTCACTGAGCTAACACTTGAGGTTCATTCTTTGGCACCCTCCTTTATTTATTTTTTATGAGTTATTTTGGCCTCAGACTAACCTAATGCA